TCCCTCCCATCCACCTCTCTCTCTCTCTCTCGTCTCGTGACTCGACGTAAAAATATAATAATAAAAAAAAGAAAAAAAAAATTGATAATAACAGAAAAAGAAGAAGAAGAAGAAGAAGATGATAAAAGAGAAAAAGAGATAAAAAGTCGATATTGAAGACAGCTCGATCGCATAAATTTATTCCGATTTCAATATCGCGTTAAGACATCGGGGAGGAGATCGGAGTGCTCTGCGAAAAAGGGCAACACGTATGTAGTAGATAGAGACATAGATATAGGGAAAAAGAAACGAGAGAGAGAGAGAGAGAAAGAGAGAGAGAGAGAGAGAGAGAGTGACAGAGAGAGAGAACTGGTGAGGGGGTGACGAGGGGAAGAGTACTGGGACGATGCGCTATCGCATAGCCCGTCGACGTTGAACGCAGCACGCCGGTGGGGTCGACGCTATCGATTGGCGTCGGTGTTTCCTCGTCGTCGCTATCTGGCCGGCGCTGATGGTGGCGCACAACCCCTCTTCTTTGCCATTCTCCCTCGTTACCCCTTCCCCCGAGCCCCCGCCCTCACCCCAGCCCCCGTCCCCGCCGCCCCCGTCACCCTCGCGGCGACCCACCCTCCCGAGTCCCTCTCTCTCTCTCTCTCTCACTCATCCTACTCTTTCTCTGGCTCTAGTGACGGTAACAGGTGTTGGTCTGGCCTGAACTCGTACAAAATCGATGAGCAAGAGCCATATCGTCATTGCGAGGAGTTTCCCTTGCCTACCACCACCGCCACCACTGCCACCACCACCACCACCACCACTACCACCACTACTACTACCGTTAGAACCACTAGTAATACTACTACTACTACTACTACTACTACTACTACTATCAACCCCCAATAGATATGGAAAAGGAGGAAGTAGAAGAAGGGAAGGTAGAAGAGGAGAAAAAACGGAAGGGGTAATAGTTCAGGAGGAGGAGGAGGAGGAGAAGAAGAAGAAGAAGAAGATGTAGAAGTAGAAGAAAACAAAGAAAAAGTGAGAGATAAAGAGAGAGAGAGAGAGAGAGAGAGAGATAATTCGCGTTGGCGCAAGCGTTGGGGTGGTAGCGTGGAAAAGGTGGATAGATAGAGACAAACTATGCGACGTGTGAGTGAGTGTTAGAACGAGTACAAAAGAAAGAGAGAGAGAGAGAGAGAGAGGTAGGTGGATAGATAGATAGATAGATAGAGAGGGTGGGATGCGAAAAGGAGCCGCACAAACACGAAGAAAAGGACGCAGGCGCCCAGGACGAGCGGGGCGACGCTCGACGACGACGCTGCATTGGCAGTTGCACTCCAGCCACACCCGGTACGAGCCATGTAGTCGGGCTACCCTCCACCGCGATACACGGCGGACAATTGTTGCTTCTGCGCCCACAGGTGGTACATCTTCGTCTTCGGCCTTCATTATCCTCCTCGTCGTCGGGCACATCCCCCTAGTCCTCTCTTCTATTCCTCTTCACTCCTCTATCCTCTTTCTTCTATCAAAATCATATCCATTCTACTCCTTAACGCTCTTCTCATTCTCTCACTCTCTTTCTCTATCTTTCTCTTTCTTTTTCTCTCTTCCTCTCTCTCTCTCTCTCTCTCTCTTTCTCTATTAATCATTCGCTCTTATTCTCTTGCTCTCCTCGTGGCTCGTTTTAGTCCGTTCGGGCTCGTTCGCGATACACTTCTACTACTGGTGTGTTCGCGCGCACAACCTCTCTCTCTCTTTCTCTTTCTCTTTTTCTCTAACTCTGTCAATCTATCTACCTACCTACCTATCTATCTATCTATCTATCTATCTCCGTCCGTTTCCCTCTCGGTCTCTCGAATGCATCACTAGTTCGTGGTGCTCGTCGAGCGGTCTCTCGGCGGTATGTGGCAGCTCCTGAAACCCGGAATATCCATTGATTTTCTTACCCGAGGACCGAAGGCAGTGTCAGCCAGTGCTGGAAAGAACGACGGAGAGCCTCCCTTCTGTGCTAACAATTCTATCCATCTATCTAACTATCTTTATATTTATTCCTATCAACTTGTTCAGTTTCTCAAGAATTCTCGCTTAAGCCAATAAAAGTGATTTACATGTTAAACGTTCGTCGTTCCTGTAATAATCAACGACTAACTAAGAAGAACCAAAGAAGATTTCAAGCTTCCACGCGAAGCAGTTCCTACTATTCTTCTATTAGAACTACGCGTCCTAAAAAAAAAAAAACAAGTAATAAAAGGAAACAAATCAAGAATTAATTTCTATGGGAATGAACACGAAGGAATAATAATACTCGCAGTTGGTGAAGAAGAAAAAGAAGAAGAAATGGAAGAAGGGCGAAAAGAGAAGTAGAAGAAGAAGAAGAAGAAGATTCTTTGCTAGAGGGAACTATCGACCATACACGTAAGGCGGTACCGTACACACACCGATAGACAAACACGGCGGACCTGTTGTCCAACTTGTTGCTCGTCCCTGCAAAAGGCACACCCACCCTCTTCGACGCTTGGCGACGTTTTTCGAAAAAAAAATAGAAAGAAGAAAGGAAGGAAGGAAATAAGTAAAGGAACGCTAGACACCAAGAGAAAACTCCAGTTAAATCATTGGATTTCTTGGACTTCAAATCTGTTTGCTACATTCTACTGCACTCTCTCTCTCTCTCTCTCTCTCTCTCGTTCTCTAACTCACTTACCCATTTTTTCTCGTTGCTACAAAAATTACGTGAACAACCCTAAAACACAAACATTGTGTTACCACTATCACACTACTACTATTACTATTATTATTTTCTACTACATACATACACCAATTCCAATTTGTCTCGATTATATTTAGAATTATTTGCTAGTAGTGATATTTATTTGCTAGCAGTGATATTTGGTGATACGCTCGACCCATCAAAAACAGAAAGCAACGTCTCGTCTTTCTTTGTTTCGATGAAATATGTGCTACTTTTGATAACTTCTGCATTCGCTACTGTTGCTGCTGTTACTGTTGCTACTTTCGCAAGCTTTTGACAGAAGACAAATTTAAAACGTCAGGATGTCACGTTATACGGTTCTACGAACTACGAGATCGCGATATTCTTGAATCGTTTTCAACAGGAGGGGTAAATGATTGATAAAGATTCATGTACAATTGACAAATGCTCCTGACTAAAGAATCATTTTCTATAATATAATTATGGTGAGAAAGAGTTATGTAAATAGAAATAAAAAGTGACAGAAAGATATTAATAATATTAATAATAATAATAATAATAATAAACAAGTGTAAAAGTATATATAAAAAAAGTGTACATAAAATATTGAATTTACATGTCGAACTTATGCTACCATCGTACGTTTGTTTAAGTGTATTGATGAGCTGCTCGCTATGAGATATAATCTTCCACCCAGTGAATATACAACGAAAGCAATATTACTGATAAGGTAACCAAAGTGACGCGAATGAAGTTAACTGCACGTTCCATCCGAGAAAACGATTTACAATTTTTTTCCACGTATAAATAAATAAATAGAGCGATCCCTTAAGAAAAATAAAGAAAAAATATTAAAAAAGAAAAGAAAAGAAAAGCAAAGAAAAAAAATATTTCAATCGCACGATCAAACGGGTACGTTTCTAATCGTTAAAAAACATACATACATACATGCATACATGTATACATACGTTGGATGTTTACGTTTATTAAAAAACGTAAAAAATGTATGTTTTAAGACGGTTGTTGGATAACTTAAACGTTCGTCCATCTTGATCAGATTCTTCAAGTATTCTCTGCTATTTAAAACAGAAGATATAATTCTTTATATACATATATACATGCATACATATATGTGTACATGTATATGTATAGAAATATTAAATATATATTGACAAATGGTACACGTATTATATATCACTGACTGTTATGGTTTTCCTACCTCTTTAGTCTCAGAGATACACAAAAATCCGCAACATTTAATATACATATAAGTATATATATATAATATATATCATAATTATATATATCATATATATATATATATATATTATTTAATATATGTATATATATA